TGCCAAACAGGCACTTTTGCATTTCGTTTCGAAACTAAATCATCCCTAAATCATAGTCTCACCCCACTCTTCTTGTCAGTCAGCTCTCCTCACTGGATAAATTAAATCTGATCTGTGATGCTACTGTCGTTCGGCACGCTGCATTGAGCAGCCGCGTTCAGTTTTTAATTGTAGTGTCTGTTCTTTTACTGAACTAAATGATTTTTATTACTATAAAAAATCAAAACGACGGTGGGGGTCGGTGCCGCGGTGGGCAAGTGACGTAACCGGTGTTGCGGCTTAACACCGGTATCACCGTCAGCACCGTCTATCGCGGCAAGCCTACTCAATTCTCTCTTCATCTGTTGCCAAATCACCTGAACTAAAGCATGGCCAGACACTCTCATGACTTTCTCTTTTGCATGAGCAACATATCCATCTTTTTCAGAGTGGCACTGCCGTGGCCTCCAGACGAGATTTGCTCAGCTCTAGCCGCCTGTCTGAGGCCGTAAATAGATCATCTTTGCCCCATTGGCAGCGTTTAGATGAGACTATCCTCGCATGAGCTAAATGGATTGCTTGTTTCAGGTTAGTATGGTGAAAAATTGTGTTTGACAGAAGAAAGATGCGTACAGGTTTCGAGGTTGAGTAAATGACAGAATTTTCATTTTTAGGTAACTATTGCTTTAAAATCTCCTGTCATACTTGCCCTGATGTTCTTTTAGAGAACAGAGATTGACTCTAAATTACACACAACTCTAGGTGACCTTGCAATTAGCATTAACCTGCGTCCTGCTGGAAAATACTAATGCATTCTAAAGCTCACAGTCTTATTATCTAAATGGCCATGAAAGAGCACACAGTTTTCCAACAGCATGTGTTTTAGTGAGATTATGTGTCATTCGTATAATATATGGCATTTATATGAAACAAAATGTATGGTGAAAAGCGCTGTACAAATAAATTTGAACATAAAACAAATTTGAATTGAACTGATTTTTTTTTCTTATGACATTTTCTCTATTTTTCTTATATGACATATATTATTAATACAAAGAAAAATACATTAAAAAGACACTATTAGTTGCACTGTATCACTGAATATTGTAAGATAAGACAAAACTAAACACATTTTAAGTCACATTTTATTATAACATTCAAAAATAATGTAAAATACCAGAAAAAAAAGAAAATTATCCATTATAAAGGCTATAAACTACACAACTAATTATTTAATTTAATGTTATTCATAACAAAATATAAATGAAAAATATAAATATAACATAAACATACTGTAAATTATAGTGCCATTCATGATAAACCATAATTTATTATAAATGCCTAAACTAATATCCTATATAAATCAAAACAGAAATGTAAATGCACTATACAAATAAACTTGGGCTCACGTACCTCTCTTATTCGGATGATAAAAATTATATTCTAGAAAAAGAAAATCATCTAAAATGATAAAATTGTAACAAATTATTATTTTTTTATTAAATAATACTTTTATTATTTTGATAAAAGTGACAGTAAAGACTTTTACATTGTTACAAAAAAAATCTATTAAAATCTATTTATATTAATCATTTCATAAATGTATTAAATATTATATTAAAATAGAAAACATGTATTTTAAATTGTAATAACATTTATAAAATTACTGTATATTTGATTAAATAAATGCAGCCTTGGTGAACATAATGCTTCTTTTAAAAGCATTAAAAAATCTTACCAACCCAATATTTTCAAACAATTCTATAGCCTATGTGTATTACATAACTGAATATAATCGTAATGAGTTTAGACCAGCATAAGTGCCATTACATTCAGCCTGTCGGTTCAGTGTGAAAAGGCCTTCATTTACACATTCTGCCGTCTGACCATGATCTGTTTAGATGAGATGGCAAGCTGACAGATACAGATCACGACATGGCCAAATACATGTTTCCACTCTTCACTCAACTCCACACAGCACAATCCCCACAAACGCACCCATGTTAATGGAAACCAGACGAGTTTTGATTAAATAAAGCATCGGTGCTGGGCTGCACTAATGGAGCTTGTAGGAGCCTTTGATTGCATTACACACAGCGCTGGTGTGCATTCGTTCGGACACACATGTCTTTATTAAATGAACAGCTCAGGCGACAAGATTATTCAACAGTTTATCTGCATAATGAAGTCACAAGACAAGTATATATCTGTTCTGACATGCTCGGCACAAACCGGCACAGAACTGATATTTAAAAATATCTAAAAATGCATATTTCATGGAATTGTTTCATGAACCGTGCAGATGCCTCCATGAAGATTAGGGGAAGAAAATGCGTTCTGTTTACAAAAGTGCTTGAAGCTATAATCCAATAGCTCCAAAAGGAAGCATTTGGTAGTCTTATTTTATGTTTTTATTCAATTTCCAAAGACCTTTTCCCTTTGCAAACCTTACTGGGCTCTTTCACCGAGTGATTTACCTTCAGCAACTCAGTCTCTAGTCATGCAACATTAGACCAGGAAACACAACACTGAAATCTTCCATCATACGCCTAAGAGGCTTTTTCTTTGGCTGTTTTCATTCTACTCATTGATTTAGCATAGATGTCTAGCACTGAAAGCATTTGGATGTCTTTGTATTGATTTGTAAACGGAATACAATCATATTTTTATCACACCATGACTTTATTGATTTGTTTTTGCATTTTTGACAAGCCTGTTAACAGCAGCGAGAAAATAACAAAACAGAAATTAAAGCATTCTCAGATGTACCTCGGGATAACAGAAACATAACGCGGTCGGTGATATAACATCATCATCCATGGAACTGGGTCATAGACAGACATTATATGAGATATGAGAAACGCATCGTTAGGCTTAGATAACATTATCACTTTTTAATGGATATGTTTTCCTCTATGATTGCTGTCATAGCCTTGGCATTTTAACCGACAAATCACATTTAACTGAACAAGATAGATAAAAAGAAAATCATCAATAATGTGTTAAATGGAGCTGACAGCATACTGGTAGTTAAAGCATCATAAAAATATTAAACAACCAAAATAATAAAAAAGTTTGTATTTTATAAATGAATAAGTTTTACCAGCCTTTCAATTAAGTTTTAAAAGATCAATTGAAACAAAACCCTAAAGTCTGATCCTCATAATTTCTATGCCAGTTAATACATATATATATATATATATGTGTGTGTGTGTGAATATATAGCATATGAATTATATATATACACACACATACATATATTTCATATATATTTCATAATTCATAACACAGACAGACAGATACTGTACTGAATGGCCATTGATAGTCTGTTCTC